CCCACTGCTCCTCGCCACTCTTCTTGCATCCCCTGTGCGCCACTTCCTCTGCATGTCTTCTGCACATCTTTATCGCCACTTCCCCGTCCCGTCGGTCTCGGCACACCCCAGATAGGTAGAAGTAAATCTCCTCCTCCCTCTTCGGCTATAAAAAGTCGTGGATGGGGGAGGTTTAGGGTTGTTGTCAAAATTTCAGTGGTTGTCGGTATTCTGTTGGGTCATCATTATTTGCGTCTCTGAGCTTTGTAGAATTCTGGTGAAGGTGAGGTAAGGCTCTTCCTTATTTGGTTAAGTTATGGAGCACGTTTGTCATGCTTGAGTTCCTTATCCTTTATAGTAATATAACTTACATGGAGAGTGCACATATATAGCTTCTGCTATATATGAATCATCAAACAAGACTATAAATTGGATGATTTCGGGTTTTAAAAGCCATGATGACAAAGACATCCGGTGATAGAGCGGAGTAAAATTGCATCCTACGACATCGGGACCTGACATAGGAATCTGTTGAGAATATAAGATGACAATATTACTCACCGACACTAGACTAGCGAGGAACCTTGCTTTCTTAGGCTGCTGGAGATTCTAGTCAAACAGTGTGATTGACCTGTGAATGATATTTTTAAAGCATATAAAAGTAAATTAAAACAAAAATGCATTTCTTACGGAAATAATACTTTCGACTGTTCAATGAAATTTTACTTTTAAATGCATGACAAACCGTAAAATTTGAATGATAAATTTTAGATGTCCACTTGTCAATTACCTATACTGGGTTAAGAATTGCCCTCCTAAGATCGTCTTGTTAGAAATTTTTAGTTGAATCTCGGGCTTTATACACGTGGATGACCAATGGTTGCCTACAGAGTCCTTCGGGAATGATAAAATCTGAACTCATTATGTACCTGAATTCTTATAGTCTACTTCTATCTTTTATAGTTCACCTATTCTTTTACTTGTCACTCGTTCTTTTACCGTAAAATTTGATTGATACATTTTAAATGTCCACTTGTCATTTACCTATACTGGGTTAAGAATTGCCCTCCTAAGATCGTCTTGTTAGAAATTTTTAGTTAAATGTCGGGCTTTATACACGTGGATGACCAATGGTTGCCTACAGAGTCCTTCGGGAATGATAAAATCTGAACTCATTATGTACCTGAATTCTTATAGTCTACTTCTATCTTTTATAGTTCACCTATTCTTTTACTTGTCACTCGTTCTTTTACCGTAAAATTTGATTGATACATTTTAAATGTCCACTTGTCAATTACCTATACTGGGTTAAGAATTGCCCTCCTAAGATCGTCTTGTTAGAAATTTTTAGTTGAATCTCGGGCTTTATACACGTGGATGACCAATGGTTGCCTAAAGAGTCCTTCGGGAATGATAAAATTTGAACTCATTATGTACCTGAATTCTTATATTCTACTTCTATCTTTTATTGTTCACCTGTTCTTTTACTTTTCACTCGTTCTTTTACTTGTCACTTAACTCTTACATACATATACAAATGTTTGCCCTGCTAACTATATTTTTTGTGATACTTGTTTACTCTTACCTATGACAGTAACCCCATTTACAGAAGCATGAGACACGACAGATACACAAGATGATTTTATACATTGTATTTTTACCGCTTTTACTGCACTCTTATAACATATCTTGTTTATGCACACTTTAAATTATTTGCAAGACCTTCAAGATAGAGAACAAAGTTGATTTACCTATGGTGGATCACTATAAACCTAAACACATACCCTTTAATTAATTAGATTAATAGTAATTGAAATTAAAAACATAAGACAAAACACTAAACCTGAAATTGCTACAATATGGAGCATGGAGCAAGTCTTCGCAGGTAACACGACGAAGATGCAACGGACGAAGGATGACGATCTACAACAATAAAACAAGTCTACATCAACCAAACCTTTCCTTAGTTTAAATAACAAGTCATAAGACTTCGAGGTAATCTGCCTAGCGCGACATAAGTCCTCACCTCATCTTTTAGGCCCCTGCATAATCAGGTTGTGCAGTATAAGTCCTAACTCCTTTTATGATTCTGAGATTTCGGTACAACGTAAATCCTCTTATCTTTCTAGGTCATTTGTACAATCAGGTATCGTGCTAGTGAAAGCCCAAATCAATAAAATCGGCAGGATTGAACATTAAATAACATTATTTCAAAGACATAAAACAAAACAAAAGGATAGTTGGGGAATCACCGAGACTTGTCTCAAAATCCGTGACATCCCCTACTTTTTCACTCCTTCGGACTCCTAAAATAACTGTTCCTACTTGAGTCATTCTCTTTTGACTTTCTTGTGTCCAACCTTAAAAACCTAAATTTTGAAATCTTGGATACAAAACCACTGGTCTTAATTGAGAGTTTTCTTAAGTGATTCCAATCATTTAAGATAAAATTAACTATAAGGAACTAAAAATCCAGATAAAATAAACTATATCTAATCCTTATATTAGGTAGGGGGACTTGTCGGTCAAACATAAAATGTTTCGCAGATCAAATGGATGTCGTAAACTCTTTAGTTCAGTTGGTTAAGTTTACTGACAAGTGATATCTTATCCGTCGGGATAATGTATTACTTGTGGTATCACACTCAACCACCTAAACTATTGAGCATGTGAGATTTATTTGGTCTCATTTATTTCAAAATTAAAATATTATTTTCAAAATCAAAATCAATTTAAATCATAAATCATTTTCAAAATTTTCGGCCGACAAATATAAAATGAAACAACGCATTTTAATTGAAATATAATGACGCTAATAAATAAAAGGTTCACTGGAAATGAATGAGCATATAAAATATTAGACAAAGTCATAGGATTGGTACACCTCATTGTATCCTTATCAACCACGGATTGTATTGTACCATTAGCGGTCTATATGGTTTCTGGAACTGCTAGGTGAATGTAGAAAGAGAACTCACTAGCGGGATCTGTCACATGTCAAGATGCACCAGAGTCTACTATCCGATATAGTGATCTTGTGATGTGTATCACGAGTACCTTTGGCTAAGTGAACATAACACGTAGTGCTCCCATTGGATGACGATGAGGTGGATGCATCCTTAGTCACATTGCTTGCCGCACATTGTCTGCCGCTCTGATTCCTCTTCAACAACTTTAGTAACTCATGATTCTAATCGGTAAAGACTACCCATGTCTTTCCCTTATTCTTTTCTACCATCAGATTTGCCTGGTAGCCCCCCATTTCACCTTTTGGGCTCCCACGATTACCACCACGACTTTTAGATTGTCCACGTTCACCTGTCTCTCTCCTTAGGTGGCTTTCGATAAGTCATGCTTAGGAGTCCCACTTCTCCATAATTGAAGCACGTGCAGGTCTCCCGTTGGACACATGTCATACCTGAGCTTGATTCAACCAAAGCTTATAGTAAACCTAGAAGTTCTCTCAGCTCGAAGTGTAGCCTCATGCAACTCTTCTCCTAAATCAGCAGTTTAACTATTCCTCAGCTTTCGTCGGTCTCTCACTCATGAACCAAATTTCTCTCCTCCACGCTTTGATTTCAAGCGCACTTTACCGTACCTAGAAGTCCTCTCAGCTCAAAGTGTAGCCTCATGCAACTCTTCTCCTAAATCATCAGTTCAACTATTCTTCAGATTTCTTCGGTCTCTCACTCATGAACCAAATTTCTCTCCTCCACGCTTTGATCTCAAGCGCACTTTACCTGCTTCGATTTCAAGCGCACTGTACCCTGTGTTGCAGAGAGCTACTCGAACCACTCTACGACAATTCAACAACCAAAGGTGTTGTCAATTCAGTCTTAGGGCATGCCCGAGTGCGTCTTCAACTTCCCAGCTCGCTGCAATCACGACCATATCGCAAAGTGTTCACGCCGCGATCCGCAGGTTGCCTTCCCAGCTAAGTCGAGGTCCATTCGTCGCCTTCCCAGAGAGCCCTGATCCCGTCGTTGCCTTTCCAATCGCGGATGCTTCACACCAAGCCGCCATCCCGTCGTTGCCTTACCAATCACGCGATCCCGCTCCTCCCTGCCTCGCTTCCCGAGCCCCACCACTCGAT